AGTAAGATACTAACATATTTTTAACGAATACTTTTCTTATATGTTTAACAGGTGGTGCATCAAGTGTATTCACTGTAGATAGTAGTACCGGCACTATATCTGCCACCTCAAATCTGGATTTTGAAACGGATACCCAGACATATTTGTTCGACTTGATAGCAACAGACCCGTCGGGATTGGCTGGAACCTGTTCCGTCTCTGTCTCTCTTGTGGATCTTAACGACAACAGTCCCATATTTGATCAAGGAATATACTTAACGGAAGTTCAGGAACATGATGGAACCGCTGGGCATAGTGAGTTCTTCATTGTACAAAATTGTATTTAATAACGTTAGGAAGGGAGAAGGAACCAGGGAGAGAGAGTGAGGTAGGGAGCTATTGAGAAGGGGTAGACTACAGGACGGGAGGGAGGAGGGTGCGAATTGGACGAGAGAGAGGAACAATTTTAATGGATATTGATGAATAAAATTGTCTGAAATATTAATAAATAGTTGAAAACATCCTAGTTCAGCGGTTTACATCGCATGTATCAAGCAGGCTGGTTATAATTGTGATCTCTTTGACGGTTTATTAGTTGAATAGCTAATTCATAGCGTAATAGTCATTGTATGTATTACAGCTACACCATGCCTAATGAATATCGGTGATTGCTTTAAAGATGCCAAAATGCATTGCCATTGAAGTTATTTAATATTTAAAACTACACTAATGGTTACTGGGATTCCTGAAACTGATTATTTTTTCTGTTACAGCCGAAATAGTCGTTCAGACTGTAACAGCCGTTGACATAGATGCAGGGGCCGCTATTACATATGCATTGGTCGGAGGTGATGATGCTCCTCCAAATTCAAAATTTTACTTAGCTGGAAACATTATAAGAACTACAGCCTCCCTTGACTACGAAGACCCAGTCGTTATAGGCAGAAACTACCAGTATGATCTCATAGTTACCGCATCAGACGTAGGGTCGCCATCGGTTGCTACAGCAACTGTAAGAGTAAAGGTAGGAATCAAATCTCACGTATTAAATATTTTCATTCAAGTATGTGAATAGTCTCCGTACTCCCTCGCAACATCTTAAACTCACGAATCACCATAAATATTGTACTGCTACAATTTTAACAGTGCAGTGCACGTTTTGGATGAGGTAATTAGAATACATCTGTGTCATTCAAACAGTTACAAAAAACAATTAGAAAAAGGCAAGCCTTGACATGACGCCGTCAAATACAATGAGACCTGGTAATAGACGTACTACGTATTTCATTCGGAATAAGCACGTCACAATCACAACTCAAAACACGTTTTAATAGGCTGTTCAGTGTTGTATTTTTGTGATTTATCAAACAAATAGAAAACAAAACAAAAACAAAACTGTAAATAATAGTTCTTGCTCACCATGACCAATAAAAAAAACACAATAATTAGGTTTAGAACATTAAAGGGCGGTAGTCGTCGCGCCACGAATGCGTGAGATATATGGGTTTCATATTAACAAAGATGGCGACTTTGACTGTTGCGCAGATCAACGAGTACAAACTGAGACGTTACAAAGCTTTAATTAGGTATTTTTTAGGCGGTTGGAAGGTATCGAAGGAGTCACAGACGGTAATTAGTGCAAGTCGCGCCCAGGTAAAACCTCATACTCGTGATTTCCACTAGAAGAGCGCATTGGATTGTGGGAAAATCTATGTTTATCAACACAAATGTCGCACATGCCGCAGCGCGACGACTGCCGCCCTTTAAA